CAAGTTACTGAGCGACAAGGGACACTTTGCTGAATTTGCCAGCACAATCAAAGAGTACGGCATGCAATCGGAAGATCCCGAGCTCATGCTGAAGGTCAAGGCCTCCATGTGGGCCGTCGGCAACGTGGGATCCATGGAGCTCGGTGCCCCCTTTATCGAATCATGCGATGTCATTGAGGACATTGTCAAGATTGCCGAAGAACACGAGGTGATGAGTCTTCGTGGTACCGCCTTTTTCGTTCTGGGACTAGTCTCTCGATCCGCCCACGGTCTTGAGATCCTGTCAGAATGTGGATGGGATGCAAACCTCTCACCACGAGGAGAGTCGATGGGATTCTGCATTCCCAACAACCTGTCCAAATTCTTCTCGTTCAAACCCTGGAAGCACGCTATTGCCTCCAAGATTGCGTTGCCAGATACGCAGAAGACCTTTTTGACCCCGCCGCCTCCAACAGAAGCGCGTCCGCCTCTAGAGAAGGAGGAGCTGCCGGCCTTCACCAACGAGGAGGCCATCAATCAACGAATCCTGGATCTCGTTGTCGACCTTGGCAACATGGTTTTGTACAAGCGGGCAATGGGTGAACTGATGCAGATCAGGCAGCACAAGGTGGCAGGCTTTAGATGCCCCAAAATGTTCAAGCGCGTCATGACGATGCTTGAGTACAATCACTACCGCCTGCCGATCAGACGAATGGTTCTCGAAATGTTTGACAAAAACGTTCTCCGAAGGATCGTCTTTGACGAAGACAGCGATAGTGGATCTGAAGACGATGACGGAGACGAAGATGAGCAAAACGTATCCTCGGGTGACGAAAATCGAACCGAGAGACAGAGAAGCATCTCAGACCCGTCGGAGCTGGAGACGGAGACTGAGCCCTTGCCGAAGGCGGAACGATCGGACAGCTTGAGTTCGTTTGACACAGACAGCTCAGCTGACTCGACAGAGACAGCGTAAGCCTGTGTACGCCGTTGCACAACAACCGCCCATCGTCAAGGACTGCTTGGCATTTGAAACGGGAGGTTACCGGTGGATTTCGAGAGACATCATGATGAGGCGTTTTGCTTGTTGGCTTTTCTTGTACTATAAATCGGGACTTGGGGGAGTGGATATAGTCTCCAGCTAAGGTTTTGGCCGGCAAAGGGACCTAGAGAAGCCACGGATTGACATTCAAGAGCGAGCAAGGACAGGATGGAGTTGGTGGCCATCTGCGTATCGATTCCCAAATGGTGTAGGTAGGGAGGGTGTCGGCACGATAGGCAAATCAAAAGTGGCTTGTTTTCTCATGTTTCACTGGGTTCACTCTTTGCTTTTCTTGCCAGTACTAAATCTCAAGTGAAGGCTGTGCATATCAAAAGGTAGGCTTGACGATATCTTTTACGTGATGCGTGAATCACCAGTAGGGCGCGGCCACAGTAAGGCGTGGGAACACGACGAAGAGTTTTGCAAGTCGAATGTTTTACGGAGTACCTTACTGAGGTGAGCAAAACCTAAGGGGTGCCCCGCCCCCACTTGAGTGACATCTTCGACCCGCGACCGATCCGTCCGTCGTCAGCCGTACCTACCCCGTCCTCCGATGATGTCCGATCCGTTTACACGGAAAGAGGCTCCGGTGAATTGAAAACCTTACTCACACGTATCAACGACTTGTCTTGCCCCAATACGGACTGAAGCCGGCCGCATTTCTCTATGACCAGCGCCCCTCTCGCGTTCCTACATTCGTTCGCCATGGTTCAGGGACGAGTTCTCGTCATTGCCGGCTCGGACTGCTCCGGCGGAGCGTGAGTACACACATTCTCAGGCTTCCACTGGATGCAGAGAGGCATTCTAGACATGTTGCTGACGTGGGCTTGAAAGGGGCCTCGAGGCGGATCAAAAGGTCATCGCGGCGCATGGTTGTTACGCCATGACGGCCACCACGGCGCTGACGGCGCAGAATACGACTGGTGTGCATGACATCCACCATGTGCCGCAGGAGTTTCTGCTCAAGCAGATTGATGCCTGTATTGGCGATATCGGGGTGGACGTTGTCAAAACTGGTGAGATTTGGCGTGACTTTCGATCGTTCTTGGTCCATGGGTTTAAGCAACTAATTCGGGACCCCAGGCATGCTGGCTTCGCCTGCTACGGTTGAGACGGTTGTTGAGGCTCTCAAGAGGCACAAAGTCCCCAAGGTGGTCGTGGATCCGGTATGAAAATCATTTTCTCACTATGGATAGAATTCAGAATTTTCTCACAAAGTGCCACAGGTCATGATCGCGACCAGTGGCGCGGAGCTACTCCCCCGCGAGGCCGTCGCCGAGCTGCTGGAGGGCTTGCTGAAGCTCACCACCGTCCTCACGCCCAACATTCCCGAGGCCAAGCTCATCCTCGAGGACTCGGGGCACGACTCGATCGAGGTCGCAAGCGTCAAGGACCTTGAGGCGATGGCTAAGTCGGTCCAGGCGCTGGGGCCCGAGTGGGTGCTCGTCAAGGGCGGTCATGCACCGTTCAAAGAGGACCTTACTGTTGCGCGGAGCGAGGGGGAGAAGGCTGTCGTTGTGGATGTGTTGTATGGACATGGCGAGTTTTGGCATGTGAAGAGCCCGTACCAGAGCTCGACGAATACGCATGGAACTGGTTGCTCTTTGGCTTGTGAGTTTGCAGGGCCGTTTACTATGGAGATGATGAGGCTGATTTACGTGACAGCTGCTATTGCGTCTAACTTGGCAAAGGGTCTCGGTGTGCCGGAAGCTGTCAAGTCGGCTTGTCGGTACATTGAGGCTGGGATCAAGACCGCTCCTGGGTTCGGAAAGGGACATGGTCCGCTGAACCACTTTCACTCTATCCAGACGCTGCCTTTTGCACCGTGAGTTTGCCCTGAACTACTGATACAGGCAACGAGTTGATTGAAGTTTTTAGGGGGCGGTTTATCGAGTACATGCTCGAGAGGCCAGATGTCAAGGATGTTTGGAAGACCTTTGTGTACCATCCTTTCGTCATGGCCATGGGAGACGGGACGCTTCCCATGGAGTCGTTCAAGCAGTACCTTATCCAGGATTACCTGTATCTGGTACGTTTGCTACAGTCACCGACGAGATTCATGATTGCTCAACTTGCATCCTAGGTCCATTTCGCCAGAGCCAATGCGCTGGCTTCCTACAAGGCGAAGAGCATAGCAGACATCTCAGCCGTAGGTGTTGCCCGTGGTGGTGGACGGGTTGTGTATTGACTCATCTAGGGTGCCACAATCGTTAACCACATAACGCGTGAGATGAGCCTGCACATCGACTATTGCAAGGGCTTTGGCATCACCGTGCCTGAAATCGAGGCCACAGAGGAACATCAAGGCAAGTCTATCTTGCAGATGCTGGGCCCTTGAGACACGAGAAACAAAACTGACAAAGGATCATACACAGCCTGCACAGCGTACACGCGCTACGTTCTCGACGTGGGCGTCAGCGAGGACTGGATCGCGCTGCAAATGGCTCTTGCGCCGTGCCTGCTCGGATACGGCGCCGTGGCGAAGCAGCTTCACGGCGATGTCAAGACGAAGCGCGAGGAGAACACGTACTGGAAGTGGATCGAGAACTACGTTGCTGATGACTATGTCGGGGCGGTGAAGACCGGCTCAGGTTTGTGGAGATGATTTTTTGTCATGGTAGACACGGTTGACTAGGGTGTTTTGCTGACTGAGAGTGAATGACCAGATTTGATTGAGAGACATGCCGCGTTGCAGAGTCCGTCGAGTATAGAGCGGTTGGTCAAGATCTTCATTCACGGCACAAAGGTTGGTTTTGATGTTTGTTGGGCGGGGCGAAGCCTGGGCTAACTGTGTTGTAGATGGAGATTGGCTTCTGGGAAATGTTTCCTTACCGGTGAGTCCCGGTCAGGAAGTTTACCGGTAAGCTGGCAATGGCATTCTGTCGGTGAGAACCGCTGTTTGTCGAATAGACAAAGGCTTTGCATAGGTACCTTATGGAGAGCGAGCCTTTCAACAAAAGACGATAGCTGGAGGAAGGGCCTTGAACTGGAAACGGGTGTAGCAAGACAGAGGCAAGGATGGTGGCCCCTGTCCCCTCCATTGCATTGCTGCCATCTTGATACTCAAACAGCCTCATAGATGATGGACGAACGAACTTTCTCCGCCTACCTCACCTTCCTTAACTCAAGTATAAATCTAGGTAATTAGACATTAGAATGGGCAGGCGAGAAAGCCAAGCATTCATTGTTAGTTGGGCTGAACTGAACAGAAGCTTCCCATGTCGTCTGATACAGCTTGCAGTGCTTCCTTCCCTTGACTTCCCGCCGCAGGTGCACATGCCGTCCCAATTGCTGGTACTGAGGCCAAACACCAGTAGTCAAAGGGTTGGTTCCCTTGCACCGTTTGTGTTGAGAGGCTCACTCGAGGCCAAACGATTTCCAATCATTCAAAACCAGGTCTCCGCAATTCGCATGCAAAAATATGAAAAGCTGGAGACCCCCGGTTCAAACCGAAGTGCCATAGTAACGAAGCAAAATGAGAGAGAAAAAAATTAACTCCAGAGTCAAGAACCTTGTCGCTGCAGCAGTGTGCAGTGTGCAGATTTGGCAGAGATGCCTTATCGCGAGTCAGATCCACCATCTTATCCGGCCGATAAAGGCAGTAACAGGCCCACGTGCATTGGGTACGTATCTTTTTCGCCTTAGCAGGGTCCTTCTGGTAGCGGTCGCCGAAAAGTTTTGGCAGGCAAAGAAAGAAAAAAAATTCTCCCCGGCCGCCTTCCCTCGCGCTCCCCCAAAACCTTTGACCCTCCTACTCTTTTTTTCCCCCTTCTTTCATCTGCATCCCTCTCTTCCTCTCCATCTCACAAACCTCCATCCCCTCCCTCCACGCATCAGTCCTCTTTTCGGTTCGCTCCAGAAAAAGAGTCTCTTCGCGTCTTCTACTCTCCCCACGGTCTTTCTTGCCCGTATTTGACATCGCTTAAGCGAAACTATTCACGACAAGAAAAACTTCGCGCGCTCTTCGTAACTAGCAAACATGTCCTACGGCGGCGGATACGGTGGTGGTCGCGGCGGCGGCGGTGGCTACGGCGGTGGTCGTGATCGTCAGGACAGAGGCGGTCGCGATGGCGGCTACGGCGGCGGTGGCTACAACGGGTAAGCATCTCTCTTTGACTCTTTGACTCTATTCTCAAACACGTTGGGTCGGATTCGTGAGGCGGCTGTTGCCTTGGCGCGACGCTCCTTGTAGACACGATGCGTGTTCTGAATCTGGAGCCCGGTGTCTTCAAACAACACCCACGCGCGCTTCAACGTTTTTGAGCTTCCGATTTCATTCTCGTAAACATTTTGCTAACTCATCATCAGTGACAGCAACGGATACGGCGGTGGTGGTGGTGGTGGTGGTGGCTACGGCGGCGGCGGCGGTGGCGGTTTCGGCGGTGGTGGTGACCGCATGAACAACCTTGGCGCTGGTCTTCGCACACAAGAATGGGGTGAGTTGAATACAGAAGTAAACACGAGCAACGCGTTCGCTAACCCAAACTCAGATCTCAACACGATGCCCAAGTTCGAGAAGTCTTTCTACAAGGAGCACGAGGAGGTCGCCAACCGCAGCCCAGAGGATGTCGAGTCCTTCCGCCGCAAGCACCAGATTGCCATTGCTGGCAGCGATGTCCCCAAGCCCGTCGAGACCTTCGACGAGGCTGGTTTCCCCAGATATGTCATGGACGAGGTCAAGGCCCAGGGCTTCCCCGCTCCTACTGCCATTCAGTCCCAGGGTTGGCCCATGGCTCTCTCCGGTCGCGATGTCGTCGGTATTGCCGAGACGGGTTCCGGAAAGACGCTCACCTACTGCCTTCCCGCCATCGTCCACATCAACGCCCAGCCTCTGTTGGCCCCCGGCGATGGTCCCATTGTCCTGATCCTCGCCCCCACCCGTGAGCTTGCCGTCCAGATTCAGCAGGAGATTTCCAAATTCGGCAAGTCTTCCCGCATCCGCAACACCTGCGTTTACGGTGGTGTCCCCAAGGGTCCCCAGATTCGCGACCTCTCCCGCGGTGTCGAGGTCTGCATCGCCACCCCCGGACGTCTCATCGACATGCTCGAGGCCGGCAAGACCAACCTTCGTCGCGTCACCTACCTTGTGCTCGACGAGGCTGACCGCATGTTGGACATGGGTTTCGAGCCCCAAATTCGCAAGATTATCGGCCAGATTCGCCCCGACCGTCAGACTCTCATGTGGTCCGCCACTTGGCCCAAGGAGGTTCGCGCTCTTGCGTCCGACTTCCTTTCCGACTTCATCCAGGTCAACATCGGTTCCATGGACTTGGCTGCCAACCACCGCATTACCCAGGTCGTTGAGGTTGTCAACGAGAGCGAGAAGCGTGACCGCATGCTCAAGCACCTTGAGAAGATGATGGACAACAAGGAGAACAAGGTTCTCATCTTCGTCGGTACCAAGCGTGTCGCTGACGAGATTACCCGCTTCCTTCGCCAGGACGGATGGCCTGCGCTTTGTACGTTTCCACATTGTCTTTCTCTGTCCGACCCCAGCTAACATTTCGCAGCCATCCACGGTGACAAGCAGCAGAACGAGCGTGACTGGGTCCTCGACCAGTTCAAGACGGCCAAGTCTCCCATCATGGTCGCGACCGACGTCGCGTCGCGTGGTATTGGTGAGTATCATTCCCCCCCCCCCCCAACCTACATGGCAACTTCCAGCAGCCTTGTGCTGTACTTTACTCTTATGTCTAGGGGCTCTCTTGATTGCGCACTCTTGCCTGATGCATTCGTGTTTCCTTGGTTCTCTCTGCTCCTGTGTGGAGTCTTGGTCTGGTGTGCAGCCGTTGGCTCGCTATACTCGCTGTTCCACCCTTGTGCCTCCCATTTGCCTATGGTACAAGCGTGGATGTGGCAATTCTTGATTCGCTCAAGCTGTCCCCAAGATTCCCCAAGCCCGAGGACCCGGTACATTGAACTTTCCAGGATGGCATTTGACGCATATGGACTGCCCTGTCTTCGACGGAGTGAAAAACAGCCTGATATATTTATCAAGAAAACGTGGTTCCTGGCTGGAACGTTGCTATACAAACCGTGAGGCGTCTGCTAACCCCTTGATCAAGATGTTCGCAACATTACTCACGTGCTGAACTACGACTACCCCAACAACTCGGAGGACTACATCCATCGTATTGGTCGTACCGGTCGTGCTGGTGCCAAGGGTACCGCCGTTACCTTCTTCACCACTGACAGTCAGTCTTGCCTCTTTTCTTCACTACTTGACCAAAGTGCTAACTTGTTGCAGACTCCAAGCAGGCTCGTGACCTTGTCAACGTCCTCAGAGAGGCCAAGCAGGAGATTGATCCCCGTCTCGCTGAGATGACCCGCTTCGGTGGCGGCGGCGGCGGTGGTGGTCGTTACGGCGGCTGGGGCCGTGGCCGTGGTGGTGGCCGTGGCGGCGGTGGCGGTAGTACGTTTTTTCCCCTTTTCCCAAGTCTAGTGGCTTCATCGCTGACGGGACTTTCTTCATAGACAACGCTAACAACGCTCCTCTAGGAGGCGGTCGTCGTTGGTAAGAGCCTTGCCAACCGGACTATTCCAAGGGCGAGGTAACTCATCATGCGGCGGCAACTTGCGCAATTCTCATGCAAAATCGGCGTTCACGTAGACGGGGGTTTTAGACTCTAGGTACCCGGGACACGTATCTGCGTCTCCTTCAGTCTGGTATTTTTCCACGGCTATTTTCATTTTCTTTTCTTTGAGTGTTTCTTTTATTTGCCCATATCGGTTTGGGGCCTGTGTGCGATATTTCTTCAGGCATGGTCAAAACGTGGATCAGGTTGAACAAAAAGTTAAGACGGAACGGAGACGACACGATGAATGGTGTCGAGGACTGCAATAGAGATCCTAATTGGGGGTCCAGTCACTTTTGATGCTCTTCCGCGAGCAAGAATGGATGGCTCAAGTCGAAAGCTCGACAGTCGGCAAAGGCATTAGATGACTGTGTATATCAGACATGGCCCTGTCGAGGGCGGCTTACTGCTCAGGTAGTAATAGGAAGATCATCTCATGAAAAGTTGAACATACAATGACGTCTCGATGTCGTGCGTGACTGGTTCTCTATTCGAAACCTATCCTTGTATTGTAAGGCTGTTCAGACCTGATGATGGCGATGTGTCTGACTGACGTAGGAAATTCGTGGATCAAATTCAATCTCTGTGATCTCAGAAAGGGTATTGATATCCCGTGGTTTTGCCTGAACGCAGTGAGCGTGCTTCTACATATCCATCCCCTATCTATCTACATTTCCCTTTGCTGATGAAGACCTGTCAACAGCGTGCTTGGTGTTGCCCGCCACCACCACCACCATGACTCTCCCCTCCCTCCATCTTTCTTCCGAAAAACGTAGGTAGAACATATACATTTATCACAAATAGAAATCATAACCTATGTGATGTCCTTCCTCAACCTTTGCTGATTATGTATCCTACGGATTGCAAAATATCACGATGGCGGGAAAGAGCCATGTTTTACTCATTCAATTTGGGCTGCTTTGATACCCCCGGGACTCTGTATCTGTTGGAATATTGACGGCAGAAAAGGGGATTTGGAAGGTGGTCTGGGGGCCCGTTGCAAACGGGCCTTCCCACGGAGGAATCGTGGGCTCTGCCCACCAACTTCCTCCTTATATACATACGCAGTTCAATACCAAGATTATTGAGCTTCGTACGTGGCCCCTCAGGCTGCCCTGCTGACGTGTATACCAACAGTATCAGTCCCCTTGCCGCAGAGATTCGCGGTTCCGCCTACCGTCTCAGGGGAAGGGCTTCGATATATATCTCATCAAGGACAAGGCGTTTCAAATTGATCCCATCATGCAGAATTCTTACCCTCTGCTCCTCCCCCAATATCTGAACCCAGATCTGAAGAACCACCTGGAATTTACCTCGTTCTCTCGTCACTGACTGACGGTGAAACGACTGACAAAAAGAACAAAAGAGACGAGCCACAGACAAGGAAGACCGATGCATGCGTATGTGACTGTATACCAAAGACGTGACGTAAAAGAACAGCCGTTCCATCTTAGGGTCTCATGTCCAAGCCAGTAGGTCCCTTCCAAGTGGCGTGGATACGAGGCTTTCAAAGGCATTCCACATACCCACAGGCAAAGGGCTCAGTTTTCCATGTGAACCGCATCAAATCTCACTTCACGATCCAGATACAAACAAATGTAGCAAAAAGGTATGGTTCCTAGCTAGACATACAGTCATACAAAGTACGGCCTATCAAAATTACCCGAGCCATGAGTAGTGCCATATCACCTATAATCCTCCCTCCTCACGCGTCAGCCCTATACCACAGACGCAGACGCAGACCAAAAGCCATCCCGATAACCCTGCGCAAGCCAGAGTCGGAAAAAGGGAAGATGATGAAAAAAGTCAAACAATGCCAGACCCCCCAATCGATGCTTCAATGCCCCGAAACAAGAAAAGCCAAGAAAAAAAGCCGACACCTGAAAACTCCCCGCTGAATGATGCTGAATGACGATGCCCATACTTAAAAGTCAACATGCATCATGCTCGAGTTGCGAGACTTTGGTCGAACCATATCAATGATGGAGGTTCTTCGAGATGAAAAGCGCCGCGGCCTCACGCCCACAGGCCGAACCGGAGACAGAAATGGGTTACCGTTGGCAGCTGTGCCAAAAGTGCTCGTATCGGTGGTGCTTGTACCCGTGCCAAAGGTGCTGACCCCCCGAGTGCCGTTACTGCTGCTGGCACATGACTGTGAGTGTCGACGTCGCTTCTCCTTTGCTTCCAACCAGCGCCTGACCCCGGAACCCTAATCCCACGAGACAAGATCTTTCTGCTTTCCGCTCTCGTCCAGTTCAACAACCACGGCAGCAAACTCGCCACGCTCATCTTCAGCCTCAAAGTCGTCCATTTCAAGCTCCACCTCCTCGCCGTCCTCCAGCATAGTCTTCCCCTTTCTGAGGTAGTCGCTTCTGATATCCCAACCAAACTTCCAAACCCACGTCTCGAGCTCAGAGAAGGCCTGACCGACGGCAGCCTGTTCAGGAGTGGCAAGCGAGTTGAGGCCGAGGAGTACTTCGTTGAGTCGCCGCTTGTAGACGATCAGGGCCATGCGAATGTCACGGGCATACGAAGGACCGTAGTCGAGAACAGAGCCATCGAGGTAGCGTTCGTTGTAGACAAGCTGAGCCGTGATAGTCTGCAGGAGCGAGCGGGCCAGCTCCGGGCGCTGGAGGGGCAGTGTGTAGCTCTTCAAGATGATGGAGACCAGCATGTGCCACCACTGCTGGATACACGCCTCGTTGCCAAGATGCATACCGACGATGAAGGCGAATTGAAGCTCGCCGACAACGTCATCGTCGCTGGCACCGATGGAAAGCAAGTGAGCAGTCGCATCAACTGCCTGCTCAGTACGCTGAGCGCCAACACTTTCTGCATCGTATGTTTTTGCGCCCTGGCTAAAGGTAAAGTTCAACTCTGTGCTCGCGACAACACTGGGCATTCTCTTTTCGAGCTCGAGCTCGGCGGGAAGCATAAGCGCACCCCTCACGCGGTCCGAGGTATGCACAACCCAGTCACTGGCCTGGCGGGTGGTAATTCTGCTCAAGAGAGGCGCGGTGATGGCATTGGTGAGCTGCTGCCAGATGTTGGTGTTTCTTGCGAACTCGGGTTCGGGGCTAGAAGAACCGGACGTAGCCGATTTGACAGTAGCATTGAGAGCGCGGAACTGGTAGGGTGCCATCTTGGGGTAAATGTCCTGGATGTTATCCTTTTGGAAACGGGCTTCGACCTGGCTGGCGGGCTCGCCGATGACCTCGTTGAACTTGTCCCACTGCATGACGTGGATCTTCTCGGCGGCCGTGCTGATGATCCAGAAACCGGAGCGCGTGGTGCTGGCCTCCGTCTCCGAGACCCAGAAGAAGTGCGAACCGAGAGGAATGTCTCTGACGCCGACAAATTCGCGGGCCGTGAAGGAGACAGAATCGTAGCCTACGGTGAAGTGAGCAGGCAAGTCCATGACGAGGACCATATCTCCTCCGCCAAGGCGATGCTCATGCTGAGGCGAGACCTGCTGGGTGGTGCTGGCGGCGACGTCGAGAGTCTCGATGGGGGCCAGAGGCGGGGGCTCATCGTCGTCGGGGACGGTGTTGGGGTCCATGGCGACTTGTTGCGACAGGGAGGAGTCGACGGGCTGGTGTACGTGCAGAGAGCCGAGAGGATGAGCGCCGGTGACGCGGATGGATTTGCAGGATGGAGCTCTGGTGGAGACGGAAGAGTCGGACTTTGGCAGGCCCGAATTTTTGAAGAGGGCGGGCCGGAGAGGGGCGTCGATGGAGGCGCCGGCGGTCATAATTTTTTTTTTGGAGATGGTGGGAATGGTCCCCACTACCGTCCGAAGTTGAGAATCGTCGGATAAAGCGAGGCGCGGAGAGGATACGACCTAATTCTGATGGGTATCGAGCGATTGGTATAGCTGGATAACGATTACGAAGGCGGCGTGTTGCTGACGATTCTCGAGGAAGAGCAAGGCGTCGTCGAAAGAATTGCGTTGCGAGGTTGTTTTTTTTTTGGGTTGTACTAGCGACGGATTGGCGCGGGGAAGAAGAGTTGGCGAGAACAAAAGACGAGGGAACAACGAGTGACGATAAAGCAGCTCGGGGCTGCCTGATATTGCCGTTGGACAAATCCAGCCTCTGGAAATAAACTTTCGGTCGGAAAGAAGGTATCCGTAGGTAGACGCCGAAGAAGATGGAAAAACAAGGTGCAGGTGAGAAAAGTCGAGCAGGTCGTAGGTAGCAGTCAAGGAGGTAAGGTAAGGAAGGGTGAGGTTGTGCCGGCCAAAAGACGCGACAGAGGGTACGCGGGGCAGCAAAGCAAGCCCTGACGCGACCGAATTGCAAGACTTGGAAGGAACCAAAAAAAAAAAGACCTCAAGAGCAGTGGAAGGAGAGAGAGAGAGAGAGAAAGATCGAGGAATGCGACCCTGTAGAGGCAGCAACCAAGATTTATTATTGTCTGGCGCGGCCTACCTCCTTCCTTCCCATGCTTATCCATCTTGACGTCCCTTCCCCCTTCCTTCCCCCTTCCTTCCCCCTCCATCTCACCCGGGGGATTCCTTCCCTCAGACAACAGTAGGACGACAGCAACATTTTCCAACAACCACAAACGGGCCTGGCCCATCCCCTCACCTAGCTTCGTTTCCGTTCGAGACAATGCGGCAGCCCGGCGAAAACAAAAGGAAAGAGGGGGCGAGAGCGATACCTTAGCTGCTCGTATGCTGTTGCCGTTTGCCCGCGGTACACGTTCCAGGTTTGAGGACTGCATACTACGTCATGCGTAACCTCTTCTAAGATTACCCATCTCACCTGATTGTCGTGGTGGTGGAAGGTGGGAGACGCGGGACGGCAATGCCGTAGGTACCGGTAGGGCGGCAAGCCTGATGGATCAGCACTGTAATTCCAAGGTCCGTAGGTCTCAACTGTTGGAGCACCTCAGTACTCGTCCGAGTGTAAGGTACCTACCTACCTTACGGACGGGAGTCTTAAGGGATGTTGTCCTCTCGAATCTTCAGTGGACATAAGCAACTGGCGATCACGATAGCGATTAGCGAGCCCCAGGACAGCATCGCGATATTTGCACCCATCGATCGTTCCAGGCGACCACCAATTCGTACATGTCATTGACCATGATCCTTTCCAAGTCCCCTGCACTGAAGGCCCCCAACCAACATCCGTGTCATGGGGGACGGAACCAAGCCAACGGGGAAAACGCCTCGGTCGCAACTTGAGCGAAAATGGGCTTGTCCTACCCGTTCTTTACCTTATCTTAGCTCATGGATGTCAAAACAAGCCTGCCATCCCGTCAACCGTCCCAAGAATCGGGCTAAGGTACGGAGGACGAACACCGACCGGTACGGATACGTCCAAGGTAAAAACCAACAAACACACCCAAAAATGCCCACCGTCCACACAGTGGAGCACCACCCGCCGTTCGGGTTCCGTAAAGCAACCAACGTCTTCTCTCTTCTTCTCCCCCCCGCCCCGCCCCGAAGCGACATCAGTAATCCCTATCCCCACAATTTCCTCCGGAACTCGGGAAACCCGCATCCCAAAAAACAAACCACCAGAGAAAAAAAATCCCCACCACCACCCAACCCGTCCACGATATCCGTAAGAGAATCCACTCCCGGCACCCCCGACTTTCCCATGCCATGCATCCCACGGTCCCTTCACGTTACAATTGGGGGCCAAAAAAATCCCCCAACCAAAAGAAGAATGTGTGCTTGACACGTGTACGTACATTAAGAGAAAAGCAGGCCTACGGAGAGTAGTTTAAACGCAATAAACTAAACAGGAACGCTAGTATCATCGACACCAAGGATTAAATGCGGAAAGAAAAAAAGAAGAAGCATTTTCTTCTCCTGCAGGTACCTACCTACCTTACTCTTTTTTTTCTTCTTCTTTTTTCCACACCAAGTCTTTAACCCTGTGCCCTGCCGTCACACCCCGCCGTTCCATTCACTCGGGTTTCTCACTTTCCAAACCATAAAAACTCCACAACCGCATCGGCACCAAAGGGCGGGAAAATAGCAAACTCAATCAAAAGCGCCCATATGCAGGGACTTCGCGGATTTGGCGCAGTCCCCAATACAACCGCCAACAACGGCCACCAAAAAAAAGGAAAAGAGGGGTTCCGCTGTGCCGTCCTGTTTAAAACTACAAAGGTGCGTATATTTAATCTTTATACAACAACCCGGCGGGCTGGGTTTGCCCCCTCCACGCGTTTTTAAGGTCTCGAAAGAACTGGTACTCGGATTTGCTCGGTAACTCGCGTATACTTGCGAGTGTGTGTTACGTGTAACCTATAACCTTGAGTGAGGTGACTTCAATAATTGGCACAATACTCATTTCGCCGCCAAAAAAAATGTCCGTACACAGACACTGAGGTGCTGTGCTCTGTTCTCTTATACACCCCTTGCACAAGTAACACCAACTGCATCAATCCTCCCATAAGGTTGTGTTCCCTTCCCACCTCGTCGTCGTCGTCGCATCCAAGCCCAACCGGCGTCCGCCGGAAAGACGTTCCCGTGTCATACTGCGAATCGTGTTAAATACGACAAGCAGTGCTCACCGACTCTTTTCTCTGAGCATTCACGACGCATCCTACGGCATCCCACTTCTCCAAACCTCTTGAAAGGAGGGGGCAACAACGCCTCGTCGTCACCAGCAAGTCTGTTCTCACTCAGCCCCCCAATCCTGCATATGCACAGAAACTCGAAAGGAAACATCGATAGAAGCAGGAAGGGAAGGAAAGGGGCAAAAGTGCCAAAAAGTTTGAACAAGCTTTTTTCCGAAAAAAGAAGAAGCAGCGGCCCCTGTCAATCTCCCGTCACTTATTCAAACTCTACCCTTACCTTACCTTACTTATCCGTACCTGCTTACCTTTTTTCCCCTCCTCCTCCGGACATACCCTTCAAATAAGACCGGGAACCTTGGAAGTGTATTGGCCAACAAACCTCCCGAAAGCACATATATCTCCGGTCCCGCAACTCAAAAGCCCGTCCTCGGCCTTTTCCTTCTTCTCCTTTCCTCCTTTCCTCTGTTTCTGCGTTTTCTCCCTCTTGCTACGAGGCACCTTGAAACCCAGACAGAAACCCTTGAGGACAATGAGGGAAAACCAAGATGCCATCCCGAGAAGCTTCACTTAACCAGGTCCTCAATTCCAAATACCAATGAGATAACAATACCATTGTCATTCGTCAACGTCCTTTTCTTACCTGATATGCAACTATCCGCAAACTGCTACAAACAAACCCCCTCCCCTCATCTACATCCAACGTATCACAGAAAGAAAAAATAAGCAGCGCCACTCATCCATCCCCCATGTCCAACAACCCCTCCCACACACTTCTTCCACCACACACACACACACACACTACACCTGTGACATGGGAACGCACGCGAGCGAACCCGACCGACAGACCGCTGCTGGCGACTCCCGTAGCGTCAGTTACACATAGATCCTTTCTCTCCGAAGGAAAAAACAAATTTTTCAACCTACTAAGCAAAACCTAGCTTAGCTCCCTCTGCCCCCTCCTCCTCCCTCCCCCGCACCTTGGCCCTCTCCCCTCCCCTCCATCTCCGCCTACGCTAGCTCAACACCGTTGGCGAGAAATCAAACACCAACCAACCTTACCAACACAAAGGGAGCCAACAACACAAAAGATCCCTAAACTGTACCCTTGTCTTTTTTTTCTTCTTTTACAAATCCTTTGTTCCCCAATGCATGTGAGAAGCACGCTGGTGCAGTGCCGCTCGCTCGCTGTTAAAGAACCAGAAGAAAAAAAGAGGGTTCAAAAACATAGTCTAAGCTTGCAAAGGAATGGTGTTACCAACCATTACTCTCTCACACACTTGCCCATCTGCGTCATCAGACATTTTCCAACATCGATATACCCTTGTTCAGAAATGCCAGTTCTGCAACAAATCAGTTTGGCTTTTTCAGCTTTTCAGCCTCACTCCACACGGTGTTCTTCCATTTTTGACTACTTGGTTTAATCATGGTAGGTTTTTGGTTGATTCATCATTACCATCATCACCCAAAGCTTGTCTGCTGCATTCACCGTGAATCACCATTGCCAAGTAAAATGCTGTGAAAGAGGTGTATTTTCTCGAGAATCTTTTACATTTCCTTTTCCGCAACGACGTGAAAAGCAAATCAACTATCAAACGCATTCTGTCGACGCCCTGAACGTCCGTGTATGTATAGGTATCTCGGCCACTCCAAAGGTCAGTCCTTGCCAATCCTGTGCTTTCGCCCTCTACCGAGAAAAAGTCCACGTTTTCCGAAAATCCTTATCGCCGTCCGAGAAGAGTAGCTCCCTCGAGGGACCCAAGTCTGAAAAGGAAAAAGGTATCGTCTGCAAAGGATGGTGTCATAGCCTCGATCGCGCTTGGCACCCAGGCATGCATGCCGGTCCTCATTTTCCCAATCATCACTTGTTTCCATAGCATCACAGAGCATCTTGAGCTCCCATCCTCGTTGGCTGGGGACCAGAACGCTCTGCAATCAATGTCGAGCTCGTGACGTCGTCCAAATCGAAGCCGGCTCGCCGCCCATGTCGAGAAACCCTCTCCAAAATGAGGCCATAAAATGGCCAACCAAAGCGAACCTCCACCCATTTCGTCAAATCATGACCCCCCTCAACCGTCCTCGTAAATGCAGAAACTACACCGGTCCAAGGAAAAGCCGTTGCCCAATGCATCATCTTATGTGGAGAAAAGAAAACCGAGGAAGAAACATCAGCATCGGATCGCGATGTGAATGATCAAGCCTCAGACGGGTGTGCCTGAGGCGCCAGTGAAAATGGTCAAGGTAACGCATCGAAACCATGCTGTGCGTGTACTCGATCGAAACGTGAAAATCCCAAAGCCATCAATAGGCGGATATCGCTTCGTAAACCAGAATTTTGCCGCGCGTCTAGTAGCCGAAGGAAACGAAGTTGAAAGTTCGTAGTATGGACATTGACTGATGTGCGGCTGTCGTCGTGCGAAAGGGAACCCGATAATGTACAAGTTCATCCCCCCTTTCATCATTACGGTTGGGTCCTTTTCGATGGCGGATCAGCCGTCTTCAGTGGCTTGAAGCCTGGGCTCCGTTATCTGCCTATACAGTTAGTTCGCCGAGGTCATTTGTCCAGGGAATATGATACTCACGTGAGTTGTACATGCTCTGGTTCGGCTGGCCGTAAGGAGACTGAGGTTGGTAGTTGGCCGAGTACATGTGGGAGCCGTTGTACTCAGGAAGGGGCTGCTGCGCAACACCTCCAGCGGATGGGGGCGCAGGGTACTGCGAAGGCTGATATCCGATGGGCGGCAACTGAACCTGGCGGCCAGTCGCGTACGCAGATGCCGACGATGAACCGTCGGGTGCAGATTGAGGATCACCTGAACCGTTCTGGGCCGCGGCCTGTGCAGCGGCCGCAGCTTGACGCTGACGTTCGTCCTCGGCCTTGCGAGCCGCTTCCTCCTCCTTCTTGCGTTGCTTCCATTCCTTGCGGATTTCCTTGAACTCTGTTGCTCAAAATATTAGCTTCCATGCGACAAAATTGCCTTGGCGCGACTGTTGCAAGTTTGTCGCGGAGACTAAGCCATGTGCATGGTGCTGGGTCAAACAAGCTAAAAATCACGGCTCGCTAAATCACGGGATGTAGGACGCTAGTCCCGCGTACCGCTTGGCAACGCAAACGCGACCCTGATTTTCGATGAAATCCGCACCCAGCGACAAATCAGAATTGCAATTGTGCTGCAACCACGTACCTTCGGGTGTTCTCTTTTGTCCATGAGACTGCATTGTGACGTGTGCGTT